ATATTTTTTAAGCAAAGCCAATTTATCTTGTACCCTCTCGGCAATGCTACGAGGATGAGTGGCACAGCCCCTCTTTGCGCGAACCCTGCAAGGAACTGAGTCCTCTAAAAGCTTTTCCATGTCTGCATCTGTCAAACCAGACGTTCCAATTGGTACCTGCCCACCACTCTGCTCTCCTTTCTACAAAAGAAGAAGCAAAAACACACAGGAAGGAAACAATCACACATTACATAAACTTAACAAATATAAACTAAAAAGCTAATTAAATCCAGCTGAACTTTAACGACCGGACAACCTTTTTCTATTTATATATTAAAAAAATTGTAAGTAAAAAGAAAGTCAAGTTGCTATTTAGAATATAAGTCCTTTCACCAAGTTGAGAAGACTTTTGAAGCTAAGATGGCCAGCTAGGCACAAGGTAACATCTTCCTTCAGCTTAAAACTCAATAAGATTGACATCCATATACAAAATTTCAGTTGTCCTGTTCACTCAGACAACTCCCATCCGACTTTCCCCAAATCTCAGCTAACAAAGAAAAAAAAGAAAGATACAAGAAAACAGGGCTAATCACTTTCAAATTCAGCGAATAGCAGATTTACCAACTGAGAAGAAAATTTTGCAGAAGGGTATTGTGTATCCGCTCCCCTAGCACGCTTACTCCCTAACGAAACATCGATATTTGGTGATAAGTACTCGTAATTGGCTGAAATTCCGAAGTTAGAGAAGTACCCATCGGACCCAATACCCAGAAAATCAGCCGGAGAACTGTTCTGTCGGGGGAAAGCGGCCGGTTCAAAGAAGCCCGGATCGGCCGAGCTGGAGAAGGGGACCGAGGTACGAGTTGCAGGTGTGCCCGAGTTGGCAGTGAGTAGCTGCGTCAAGCACTGGTTGGGTTTTAGTGGGTCCTCCTCGTCTTCCTCAAGTAGAGCTTCTAGCCAGGTGGCCGGAGCTGAGCGGAATCGGGCAAGCCCCCCTCGACTCAGTTCATTACCACCTCCACCAGAGCTGCTGCTACCGGCAGCTGTCGGTTGCATCTGCTTACGAGAACCTTCTTCAGGAAGTTTCTTTGAGCTTCGCTGTGTTGGCTGCTATAAGTTTCAATGAGGAAGAAGAAGAAGCCGAACCTGAACCTCCCCTTTTTTCTTTCCCGTGTTTTTTGTTTATTTATTTTCCATTTTTGTGTTTCTTTTAAACGAAACCAGATGGTTCTTTTGTTTTGCTTTTTCTGGTTTTTTTTTAAATAATTTCTTTTTGCTTTGTTTTTATGTTATATATATAAAGAAAAACCGTGTAGAGCACCGCTAATGTGATTTGACGACTTTTGAGGTGCACGTGTTGCCCTCCTACAAACCGTTCGATGAACATACAATACAACATCCTTGGCGCGTGAAGGATACTGGGATTGACGTCATTTATTAGCGTGTAAAAATTATACCAGAAAAAATGACCGTTAAAGCTTTTTAACTCTGTTACTTCTAATTAAATTTTTTTTTCTCTCTTTAAAAAAAAAACAAATTATTTATTTCTCCTTCAACGAAATTATTATTCTACTTTGAAATTTGAATTTATTTATTTAAAAAAAAAACAAATTAATCAGAGACTTGTTTAATAAAATGTAATAAAAGTTAAATTGTATTTTTATAATTTACGTAAAAATAGACCAATTATACTTTCTAACTTATCTTTAAAAAAACTCCAGACTAACGGCAACGTTAGCTGATTTGGTTATGGTGCGTGTCAAAAACGTTTGTATTCAGCGCCAGGTGCAGCCTGAGCACAGCGTGTGTATGCTATTTGTATGATTCAGTGCGGAGAAGTGTATGGATGTAAGATGATCTCGTCTCTGGAGTTTTGAAGATTGATTTTTGATTTACTGAATTTTTGGTTGCTTTATTATTTTTTTTAAAAAATAAATAAATAGATAAATTAGTTACTTTTTCTGGCAAATTTAAGAAGAGGGGGGAGGCTTATGCTTAATCTTAAATATGCAGGAAGGAGTGGGGTCCATGTAGATTTTCACTTTATTTCTTTTTGTTTTTTAGAAATAAGCACACTTTTTTTTTTAATCTAATGGTAAGGACCACGTCGACGTTGAATATGATTTTGTTCTCGCCAAGATGTGGTGTTAATAATTATCCACACTACTACATATATATATATATATATATATACATAATGCCCACAATTATTTGAAAAATAAAAATTAAAAAGGAAATATTAAATTTGTTTTATTAATTTAGTTTTTTATGAAAATTTAAAAAATTAATTATTATATAATATTTTTTTTATTCAAAAATATAATAAATTTATTGAGATTTAAGTCCATCTAACTACCTATCACCAATACATTAGTGATTGAATAAAATATTATAAATTAATAATTATTAATTTATAATACAATTATAAAAAGATGAATTCATAATTTTAAGTAAAACCACACAATATTGTTAGTCCTTTATTAATTTATTTTAGTTGGTAGTTAGTAAAGAGTTTAATAATTAGAATTTACTTTTTATTTTAACTTTTCAATATTGTAGTGAAATTATCATAATCATTAAAAAAGAGAACATTAGAAGAAGATTTAAGAATTGGATTTACAAAACAGTACGGATGTGGCTTCACTAAAAGATTTTTACGTATAAAGAAAATATAATCTTAGTTTAGTGGCAAAGGCTTTATCCAAAAAAAAAGAGAGGATCTTCCCCCACCCCACACACACACACGACACGTTAAAGGCAGGCACAGAAAGAATAGAGAGAGCTTAATACAAGCAACTAACTTGACTTTGACGGTGAGCAAGAAAGTTTTTCTTTTTCAATCATTATTTTAAAATATTTTATTTATTACTGAAATTCTTATATCTAAATATTAAATCCAAAAACTTTCTTTTCAATTTTTTCTATAAATCTAACTGATTCAAATTTTAAATTCCAATAGTAAAAATATATATATATATATATAACTGTTTTACTCAACAATTTAACTGTTTTATCCTCTTAATAAATTGTTTGTTTTTTTTTTTTTTTTTTTGAAGAAAATGATGCTGTCTAAACTTCTAAACAATAATATTTTTTGAAATTTTAAAGATAAAAACAAACTGAAATTAGATTATAATAACACAAAAACTAATAATTTTGTATAACATGACACAAAAACTAAATAAATACTAAACTGTCAAAAATACTAAAGCTTTAAATTGCAACAAGTAAAACGACAAGGAAAAAAAAAAAAAAAATCAAGTAAACTACTACCAAAAAATATCCACCACCTAGGCCAGTGTCAGTAATCAATTAAAGAACTTTTTCTCGTATCTAGTAACTGGAGGCAATTAAGTCTGTCTAATTTAATTAGAAAATTGCAAAGAAAGAAAACAAAAACACTGTATGACAATACATATTTTATAGGCCTAAAAAGAATCTCCCTGACTTCAACATTGTTGGAAGGGAGAAGGCATGTATTGACAGCATTGTTCAGCTGACCGAAAAATATACATCTACCCAAAAACAGAATCCCACATCAACTGCTGTTGTCGCTACAGTTCAAATTATAAAAAAAGTAAAAAAAGAAGACAAAAACTCTGTTCCCTCTTCAATTCAATATTTGATTAGAAGATTTACCTCTCAATCACCCCATTCCTTTGTAACCGTGATATGATACTTTGCCTGATGCTAACAGGGTCAATCTGTGATTAATCGCACTTGATGTTTCTGTAGATCCTCCTAACAAATAAGTTGGAGCCCAGATATCCAACTGCTCCTGAAATTATGAAGGAAAGTGAAAAAACACCTATTTTAGAAGACTGAGAACATATAGAAATCCAATTGACATTGTATAGGAAAAGACACACGGTTTTTAGTTTCCTCAGCTGAGGCACCGCAACAACAAAGATGTGTCTGTGTCACAATGATAAGAAGCAGAAACTTACCACAAAGTATTCCTAAACCGAGACATAGCATCAATGTGTATCCAAAATAAAAGCTAATCTGGAAAAAGCCTGACATCTTGGTCTTCACATGATAGTAATATATCGAGTACAAGTACACATAGAAAGCGGTGGAAGCAGCAGAAAAGAAGGAAGTCCATTGCCAATGATAGTTTTCGGCATTCAGCAAGAAATAGGTCCCCACTATTGTCACACATACTGTGACAATTATCAGAATCACAAAAACAAGCAACATGAAACCATAGACGTAGTACACCTGTCAAGCACAAATAAGAGAAGGCAGCTATTAGTTGGACACAAGCATGATGATGATATCAAATTATGCAAAATCCAGCATGTTCTTCATGGGAGAGAAATATAATCAAGGAACTAAGGTAAAGCCGCGCACATGCTAAATGTACATATTGTTATTTACAGAACATTGTAATAGAAAATAAACGGTGCAAAAGCAACAACTATTAACGAGCATGACTCCTATGCAAGATTGGGATATCAAGCCTCATTAATGAACAAGCAACAAGCGTCAATGACTTCCAAAGATGGACCAAACTAGCCCATCTTTTATGATAATAATTATAATTAGGAACTCCATAATAACTTTGAAGCAATTTCTTGACAGCTTTTCAGGCATTCCAAGTGCTATGACATAATAATATGAGATTGCCACAGAATTCCAAGACTTATTGGAAGACAGTTTCACCAAAAAAAAAAAACTACTTCATGAAGCTTTGAAGAAACAAATTCTACATTTGCATGGTAGCAAATGAGAATAAAAGATTTTCTAGAAAGAGAAAATAAAAGGTCCTCTCCTGCCAAAGCAACAATCTTCCTGTGCAACAATCTCATATCCTAAAGCAAAGAAATCCAAAATTACAATTTGTTATAACTATAAATGTTCTATGTTTATTTAAAAAATAAATAAATAAATGTTCTATGTCATCTGCAATCTCCATGTGGAACAACAATTCATGGTTTTTAGTGACACTGAATGCCTAAGAAACAAACCTAAAAGTAAGGTACTAGGTAAAACATACCTTGTAATTCCAGAATGATGTGAAAACAAAATACATCTCAATGAAGATGCTGCCAAATGGCAGCAATCCTCCCATAAGAGACACCACGGATGGGGTGAGATACCATTTTTTCTCGGGGATTGGACGAGGAATGGTCTTTACACGACAGGGATTATTGGGAGCACCACTCCAGTTCCTACCAATAACAGTGCCAAGAAATGCCAGAGGGAAAGAGATGAAAGCCCAAATGACAAAAACAACAACCATCGTGCCAAATGGAATAGCAGCTAGGGACCCATAGAATATAGCAATAGTGTTCAAAATGAATCCAATCCCAAAGCACATAAATGGGAAAAGGGAAGCTGTAAGGATCATTGATTTTATCCAATTCTTTCCTGACAAGAGGATTAAACATTAAACATAAGCATTCAGTAATACAGCTGTAAAGGCAACAGAAAATGAACTGACACACCAGATCTCTGGTGAGTAAAAGAAAAACTTCGTCATGAAGGAAGAAAGCAAGATCGGAAAGTTTTCGATAAAGTTACGTACCACCATTTCGTGAGTACATGCCACCACTCACGTAGCCTGAAATGAACGAGGTAAGAGCATAACATACTATAAAAGTCGTGACAATTGCACCTCTCCTGAGCCATGATATCAATGCATGTATATTAGAATAACAAAGTAACTAGGACAGCTTACTAGTAAGTTACGAAAAAAATCACAATTTAATGGAAATATTAAACCGAAATAGGAATCTACAGAAAGAAATTGCTGCTGGAAAAAATTTAATTGTTTGCAAAGAAAAGCAAACCAAATGAATCCTCCAATAAAAAAACTGGGAATATAATCTTAGCAACAGGGCATTATTTTTTAAAAGAGGAACAATCCTAAGGAATTTGGAGAATTTTCAGCATACCCTATGTACAGTGTGCCAAAGATTGCAAAAAGGACAACCAGCAAAACAAGCATTGCTAGCTGAGCACCAGTACCAACAACAGCTGAAAGTAAAACTAAGTTCTGCGGAGGCCGGAAAACATCCCCATGAACAAGTTTCCAACCAGATTCTTCACTTACATCCCTTTCCTAACAACATTTGAAGATCATTATGCCAGTCGCAAGGTAATAAAACAGACATTACTAACTGACACATCAAAGAATGCACATGTTACAGTTAGATCGTGTTACCAGAGTCTCCAAATCATCATCTTCCCGAGCATATTTGGCATAGTCATTTCTAAGGGTTCTCATCAAAATCATGGACACCAGCCCAGTAAGAAAGATAACCATCATAAAAGAATTGAAAATGGAGAACCAATGGATCTGCAAAAAATATATGTGATTTACAAGCCAGCTTAACAAAAAATAGCAGTAACACATTTTCTACATCAATGCTTTCTTGTGCATCGGTTCTAATGTTATAAGTCTGAGGAAATAATAAATAACAAACAGAACATGCAATATGCATCAGTGAAATACCTGGTGCTCAAAGAAGGGGTAGTCAAGGTAAACATCAAAACGACGAGCAAAAGTAACATTCGTCTCAATCCATTTTACAGAATATGTCATGTCTAACAACCTTCCTTCTTCCAAGGGTTTAGGGCTCTCTTGAGTGAGATTAACATGAATAATCTGCCAGAGGAGGAAGCTATGAATAACATGTCAAGGAAAAGGTTTCAAGGAATCAGTAAATAACGTATCTAATGCTGACCTTATCCCCATTGTATTTGATAACAATATTCTTGTTAGTATAAAGCAAATGCATGTTATCATTGCTTCTATCAGGGTGGTATTCACCAACGAAACCTAAAGGTAAACAAGATTAAATAACAAATTACAATGGTTCCAAAACACATAAAATAATGCTGCAAAAAGTTCAGGGAAGAAAAAAAAAAAACCTTAACTAACAAAAGATACATACCCCAGAGAGGCAAATCATCTGGATTAGCATTGAATGAGAGGCCCCGAAACAAAATGTAGAAAGGTTACAACAACAGAGTCAAGACGTAAGAAAATATACTAGACATAAAACCAGAACCCAAATCAAAAGATCGAATAAACAGAATTAACCTCAGAATAGTGATGGCACTATTATCAAGAACATACCTATAAAGAACTCAAACCAATAAGAATTCTCTACGGCTTCCTTGAATTGCTTGACCATTGCTGCATCAAGTTTCAGGTCACAGATGGTACTCCGTTCCACATTTTCTGTCAAATAGAATTGTCAAAAATATAGATTTTAGTTTTTGCCATGCTCAATGAAATGAATCTAATATGAAATACACATACTTTTAAACTTGATATCAATTTGGCCGTCAATAAGCTCATTTCCACCCAGAACCTCTCCAAGGCACCCATCTGTGAGCTGCAT